CGGGGGAGGCCGGGCCGCGCTGAGGTTGTCGCCCTCAGGACCCCGATGGTGACGGGCACCTCGGTGCTGGGAGCCAAGTTCGACGGCGGGGTGATCATCGCCGCGGACATGGTGGGCTCCTACGGCTCCCCCGCCCGCTTCCGCAGCATCTCCCGGCTGCTGAAGGTGAACGACACCACCATGCTGGGCGCCTCCGGCGACTACGCCGACTTCCAGTACCTCAAGCAGATCATCGACCAGATGGTGTAAGTTCTGCCCCGGGCTGAGGCCGGGCAAGCCCTGACCGTGCCGCGGTTCCTGCTGCGCTGCTCTCTTCTCCCAGTCCTCAGAGGACCGAAGCGTAATTAAACGCATTCACTGAGCAGGGACAAAACTGAGCTGAAATGCCCCTTGTCCTTTGACAATCCCTTTGGTACAAGAGTCTTTTCCACATCCTCTGCCGAGCGCCGCGGAGAGCCGGTTTCAGGTGTTCTTTGTGGCCTTTGGCTGATTCACCGCTTGTAAGGTTTTCTTTCAAAACGGCCTGCGGGAGGGCGCGCTGTCCTGCTGGTGCTGCAGCTGGAGCGGGGCAGCTGCTCTCTTCCCCGGGGGTTTTCCAGCTTTTCTGAGTTGGGTGGAATTTCTGCCTGAATTAGAATCGACGAGGAGCTCTTGGGAGACGGTCACAGTTACAGCCCGAAAGCCATCCACTCCTGGCTGACAAGAGTCATGTACAACCGGAGATCCAAGATAAATCCGCTCTGGAACACCGTTGTCATTGGAGGCTACTACAACGGCGAGAGGTGAGCGCGGACGAGCGACGCGGAATGCGTGACGGTTGCTGCGCGTCCCTCCCTGGGGCTGTTTCTCGCGGCGGGGGGGGGCGAGGGGGCGAGGGGTCTCTGGCTGGGTGTAGCTGCTCAAAGCCCAAGCCCCTCCCTGCCGCGGCCCTGCCTGCGCAGCCACCGTGCTCACGGATCCGTCCCTTCAGCTTCCTAGGTTACGTGGACATGCTCGGCGTGGCCTACGAAGCCCCTACACTTGCTACAGGTTACGGAGCGTACCTCGCTCAGGTGAGCGTTCGCGTGGAGTACGCTCTTGCTCAGCCGCCACAGCGACCTCCGCGCGGGTGGCTGAGCCGTCGAGCTGTTGGACTTTGTTTTCCCCCAGCCACTGATGAGAGAAGTCTTGGATAAGAAGCCCAGCCTGACGAAGGAGGAGGCCCGTGACCTGATTGAGCGTTGCATGAAAATTTTGTATTACAGAGATGCTCGATCGTTCAACAGGGTGAGCGCCCAGCTTCCGCTTCTCTCCTTGACTTGGGGGCTGGGGTGGCCGCTGTGGCCTGGGGCTGGGGTTCCAGGTCCCCCCGGGCCGTCGTCTGTCTCGGGACACCTCGCGGTAACCCCTGCTTTGGCAGGATCCCGTTAGCAAAGCTCCTCCAGAGCCAGTCTCCCCTTGTGTCC